CTGGCATCTTACCTAGAAATTTCCCTACAAGACTATTTGCCCACCTCTGAGATCCTTCGTCAATCACCGATTTCGGGATACGCAACGAACTATTAATGAACTCCGGCTTATAAAAGTCGAGTCACCTTTCTTCCGGTACACCAAAAAGTTACACCCACGACCAGCCGCCACCCACGGTGCTAGTTGCGGCGCCATCGCCGAGGGAAACCATCTAAAAAACGATCATGTATCAGAGAGAGAAAAGATGTTGTTGTTACTCAACAAATATTCAAGTCAACGAACTACACATATTCCATAAGTTTACAACTAGTATTTAGAACACCCCAAAGGATCTTTGTGTTTGCACTCCGGTCAATCCTATTCCTTTTTGTCCATGGACCATCTTATGGAATGAAGAGTAAAAATGACACAAGGGTTGATGATGAAACAGAGGAAAGGACTTGCATTTACATCGTTCATGCATACCATAGTGCTCAAAATTAACAAAAAAGAGTGAGAGAGTTAGACACCTCGTCGTTTTCCTCTCACTTACATTAGTAAAAAACTACGAGAGATGGAACGAGCAAGTGAGAGAGGATACAGACAAAGGAACCCTAACCAGGAAGAACAAAATCAAGGCAAAAGGGTTGAGAGGGATAAAAATTGCACCTTAGATCCAAACCCTTCCATAACCAATGCATGATTAAAACACAATAAAAGATGTGTAAAGCAAAAAAATTGAAACTCTAGATTTAGAGTTTTAGGACATCTTATGTTTCAAATTATTTTCATTTGGGGTAGGAAAGCAAGAGAGTGGAGAAAGAAAGAGAGAGGCATTTGGGGAAAAAATTATAAAGAGAAGGAGATAGGGAAAAGGGAAAGCAATCCGAAGCCACAAAATGAGTGGCTAGCTCGGCTAGCCGACTTCATTTAGTCACTAAAGGTTTTTCCGAGCCTTTCCTCCAGCCAATGAAGTTCAGCTTTTGATTGAAATTTTTGAAGATGTGTCTCAATCCGGCTCATATGAGCACATGGCCATGGATTTTGCCATGAAAAGTCTAGGACTGGTTTAAAACCGATATTGGGTGGGCTGATTTGGACTTTTTTATTTTTATTTTTTTGAATGTTGTTTAATTAAATGATCTAAATAATTTTTCGTTTATTAATGAGTACTATATTACTATCATCTAGCAAGTTTTATTAATCAGCAATTCACCATTAGTAATTAGTTAATTAGTTGTTATCTAATAGACAGTTACAACTTACAAGTACAACTCACTTACCATTTACGGTTTACCAATACTCCAATAGGCAAATGACATAAGTACATAGTCTCAAACATGAAACAATTCACAAATTCCATCATTCAACAATCAACATAGTCTCACAAACATGAGACAAATCCAACATAAGTTCCAAGTTCCAACTTAAAATAAAATTCTCTAACATAAAGATAGCATAACTTCACCACTATGATTGACCACTAGCTCCCCCATCGCTAATATGGCCCGAACCGCCAATATTAGCACAACCTTGCTTCTTGAAAGTGTTGAGAAGAACTTCATTATCATCCTCCACTTCATCCTCTTCTGAATCTTCTCCATCACCATCCTCCTCCTCAACCGCAACGGGTATATGATGTCCTCTGCCTTCACTTGGCATATCACCTACACTTTTCATTCGATCTTCAAAGGTACTAGTGACTAAGTTCAAAGAAAAAGAACAAATTGTTAGAATTCATCAATTATCTTAGAAATTAAGTGAGTGAATAACTAAAAACAAATAAGAATTATGAATTCTTTCCTCTTTCATAATCAATATGGTCTTGATCTTCTTCTTTATCATCAAGTCGGCCTGAATTCTTACCATATTCATACTGTATCCAATCTTCAGCACAAATCATTGCGTCTACGATGTTCGAATTCAAAGAAGACCTAAACGGACTAAGTACTCTACCTCCACAACTGAAAGCGGACTCTGAGGCAACTGAGGAGATTGGAACTGCCAGGATATCCTTAACTATCTCTGAAAGGATAGGATATCTAACACCGTTCCGAGACCACCACTTCAAAATGTCAAACTTCTGATCACCATCATCCTCGTTGATAGCATCATCAACATCTCTTAAATAGATGTCCAATTCAGAACTACCTCGAATCCCCTTTTGAAGTTTCTCCTTTCTCCTCTTCTTGAACTCAACATCATATTTCCCTCCCAAAACACTAGTACCAGTAGCACCAACACTAGCATCACTCACACTAGGAGTAGTATGAATAGTGGTCTCAGTTGATGGAGGTGAACACTTCAAATTGTAAACCTCAAACATATCAGTCATGTTTGCAGTTACTTCCTTTATCAAAGCCTCCCCTTTCGACTTCCCATACATAACATTCAACATCCAAGATAAATATTCAAGTTTACGCCTAGGATCTAGCACACATGCCATGTAAACTGGTCTATTTATCTTTAGGTTCTCCTCCTCTCCTCCTCATCATGCTCAAACCAATACTTTCGTACCTTAGCCTCAATTCTGTTTGCCATTTGTTATATTTGCTCGTCCATATCATTCTTCAATGTTGTTATCACTTCAAAAATATCAACAATGGCCTTGAAGAAAGTATGTCCAGTCACATATGATGTTCCTAATACAAGGTAGATATAACAGTATAAGTTGTAACTCATAATTATTCACTTTAAGAGAAGGTAAATTAACAAAAGAAATGGATTTGAAAAATTGATATTCACACACCCGAAATGCGAAGGGTTAGATCATAAAAGAACTTCAGGTACTTCATTAGTCGTCTGATACTGCACCAATCTTCTTTGCTTGGTCGACCCTTCTTTGAATCCACATAATCTCGAAAAGCAGCACCATTTGGATTTGAATGCATGAAGTTAAACACAACCTCAAACCTTTTTGCAGATTCCAACATCAAATTGGTGGAGTTCCACCTAGTTGGAACATCCAAAGATACTAGTCTTCTCCCATCCATTTCAAGAAATGGAATAGTAGATTTGAACTTTTCACTTTGAGCTGGTGACGACTTCACCCATTTCACACAATCACGAACCCTCTCTACAGCAAGTTCAACTTCCTTCATCCCATAAAAAACAACCAAATTTATTATGTGTGCCACACATCGAAATTGTAAGAACTTCTCATTCATCAAATATGATTCCCACTCTTTCTATTTTGTTCTCATGCACTCAACAAGGACGTAATTAGATGTGGCATTGTCCATTGTAATGCTGAACAAATTTTGTACCTTCCATTCTTCTAGACATGCAGCCAACTTTTCTGCAATATCCTTTCCTGTGTGATTAGTGATTAGAACAAAACTAATTATCCTCTTCTGCAACTTCCAATCACTCCCAATAAAATGAGCAGTCACACACATAAAATTCTGATTGTTGTCACAAGTCCAAGAATCTGTGGTAATTGAAATCCTTCTTTTGCACTTCGCTTTGAAAAACTCAGTTAACAACTCTTTCTTCTCAAGAAATATGATATACCAATCTTCCTTTATTGTTTTCCTTCCAGGTATCACAAACAAAGGCTGTGTTACAACCATAAATCTCTTAAACCCTTCACGCTCAACGAATCTAAATTAGGGATGGAGGTTCAGTTACCGGTTTACAGTTAACCGTCGGTTATCCACTAACCGTTAACCGATATAACCAAAATTTGGGCGGTTATCGGAGGCTGGACGAGATGGTTTTGGTTCTGGAGGAGGTGCGGTTATCCGGTAACTGAGATAACCGAGGCCTATTTCGGTCGGTTGGAGGGGCCGGCCTTTCGGTTAACCGATAATCGACCGTTCGGTTACCGGTTATAACCGAAATAACCGAAAATCTACCCCTAATCTAAATGGAAGCTCATCCAATATTATCATGATAGCTAATGCAGTCCTAGCTTTCTTTTGATCAAACTTCCATGGAGTAAGAGGGCCCACCTCACCTTCCCCAGGTTGGCAGTTCAATAATGATTGACCACCAGCTTCCTTCCTCTTCCTCTCGCATGCCAAGTGATGAGTTTTCAAACCACTAGCCCCATTGTTGGTCGAATGTGCTTTGATAAATGTACCACATTGTTTGCATTTGCCATTTGGGTAGCCCTCCACCAGCACATGATCATAATGAGTCCACTACTTTGATGTCTTCTTCCTTCCTCCTCTCTTCTTCACAGTTTTCTTTGGCTCACCATTTGCAGTAGGGGCTGGATTTGTAGCACTTGTGGTAGCCGTAGGGGTTGGATTTGCCACACTTGTGGTAGGGGCTGGATTTGCAGCACTTGTTTCAGTTGTGGATAGGGATGGCAAAAATATCCGTAACCGTGGGTATCCGCCCGAATCCGACCTAATCGGGTAGGGTAAAACCCGAACCTGAAAGATTTTTAGTGGGTACGGGTAAAACCTGAACTCGACTATTACGGGTATTGGGTGGGCATGGTTTTCTCACTATCCAACCCGAACCCGCCCGATTATACACATGCATATGTATTTTGTCTACAAATAATCAATATTTTTCTCTAACATATTTTATATTTAGCATATAAATATAATATTTCTATGAAATTGTGTTGTTTTAATTAAATTTTTTTCATTCTAGTGAATTATTGTCGTACTTTTTGTCTTACTTAACGTGAGAATACGTGTGAATATTAACATATTGGTTGGAGTTATAAAGAGAAACTATTACCCATGGATAACTGTGGATACGGAACCCGAACGGGTATGGGCACGATTTGGATTTTCTACCCGTTTCTCATATAGGTATAGGTATGAGTAAAACCCGAACTACTTTGGGTAGGGTAACAGATATGCACTATCTGTCCCCAACCCGATCCATTGCCATCTCTAGTTGTGGATGGAGAAGGATCCACATTAGTCCAAGTGACACCAGTAGAAGGTGTTTTTTTGGAAGTGCTGCCTTTTTTGGAAGTGGAACGAGGAGAAAGAGATCCACCCTTCGAATTACATCCTCCACGAAAACGACCACGAGAGGGTTTTGTCCTACAAAAGTAAAAAAATTTAACTTTGTTATGTTAATAGAAATTAAAAACCAAATGCTCCAAACTAGCAAGGGACATTCACATACTGTTACCTACTCCAAACAAGCAAAAGAGTGAAAGACATATGGTCAAACATAAACAATTGTCAATTACTCAATTCATAAGGTCAGCACTAAAATCTAATTCATCTAAATTATCATTCACCAAAAGGAAAAAGCCAACTAGAAACACAAACACCACCTTTGATACAATCATACAAGTATGCTACTATTTTGCTTCACAATTCAGTACTCACTAAAATCTAATTCATCTAATTCACTAAATTGACCAAATCTTCTTGCATTTACATGCTGTCAAGAGTCAAGACTAACATTATTGAATGTTGATGTTGCTTCTTGTTGAGGGTTGGCTATTGTTAGCCTCGAAAAAGAGCTACACAAGTCAAAAACTCCCTGCTGGCCGTTGCTTCTTCAATTCTTGTTGAGGGTCGGCTGGTGGCTGCTGTTAACCTCGTCGAAGAGCTACAAAAGGAAGTTAGAGATCAGTTGTCATACTGATCAATGAATGAAATAATTAAGATTAAGGAGGCGTTGGGCCTACGTACCTTGGTGTCGGGGGATGGCGAGAAGGTCCAGTAGGCAGCAGGGAAACGGTGTCGTGAAGGAAGTCGATCAACGAGACTGGCTTTCATCTCATCAGTCAGTTCATTCTTCAATCATCAATCGTGGACGGAGTTGAACCCTGTTGTCGGTTTCAAGAAGCGGCAGTCGGCGGCGTAGCTCTCTCCGTCGAGGACTGTTGCTGGTGGTGAAGAGAAGAGGAAGACAAAGATGTCTAGGGGCTGGGGGCGGCGTAGCTCTCTCCTTCGGGGACTGCTGCTGGTGGTGAAGAGAAGAGGAAGACGGAGATGCGAGATGCCTAGGGGCGGCGAGATCGATTTCGGGAGAGAATCAGAGGAGAAAGGAGATGGTTGAGCTCGAGCGCGACGTGCAGCGGGGGAGGCCATTGGTGAGGTCGATTAGGGTTTAGTTTACCCCCAAATCCAATCTGTTGTGCTGCATTTTACTTTTTTTTAGTTTCGGTATTTCGGCATACCAGTATATCATCGGTAATCACCGTCAAATTTCCGGTATTAGCAAATGGAAAAATTTACGCCCGAATACTGATACCGCTGGTATTCGGTATACCGAATAACGTCAGTAACCGGCACGGTAGCCGATTATACTGGATATCGGTTTACCGAATACCAGCCCTAAATTGAACACCGTGGTCGGATTGGGTACACACAACTAGCTAGTGATGTTAATGAGTTGAGTCATGGCGATCTTTACCTTGTTCAGGTTTGACTCGTTAATAAACGAGTCGAGCTCGAGTTTGACTCATTTATAACGAGCTCAGTCGAGTTGAATTCGAGCAAGCTAGTTATTAAAACCTACTTGACTTGTCACTAAGATCAGGAGTTTGGCTCTCTGAACTCTATGATAATTTATAAACTAAACTCTACTATTTATATATCATATGTCATACATGCGATTAACTGATCTTATGTCATATATGAGATACATTTGCTCATATACTCAAAATCTCATACATGTGAGATTTACAATTTAATGGATCTATGAATTAATCACAAGCTAAACTCATAAGATATAGATCAATTTTCTAATTAATAAGATAGTAGTCGAGTTGGCTCACTAATTACAAAGTTTAAACATCTCATAAGCTCAAAACAAGAGGGTTCACAAGTTGAACTCAACAAACCATCTAATTGAGGAGGAATTTTACAATGCTATATAACACTAGTTTTTTTGCCCGCGCTTCGCAGTGGTAAGAAACTAACTATTTAGTATTAATTTAATTAATAATTTAGTTGAAATCAATTAGTTCAAAAAGTTCAAGTAATATACCTTCATTAGTAATGCCTGAATTATTATGAAAAAATAACGTCATAAGTTTGTTCAATTAACCCATTCATAAACTTTATGTAGTGTCTAAATCATTACGAAAGAACTACGTCATAAGTTTCTTTAAGTGATACATAAGAAATAACTATTCATTCAGAAGTTTAAATAGTGTCTTAATCCTTACTGAAGAATTACGCAATACGTCTGTTTAATTGATAAATATTGTCACTCTATAAGCTTTAATAATATCTTCATCGTTAAGAAGACTTATGTAATACATTTGTTTAATTGATACATAGTAAATAACTATGCCTCCATATGTTTTACGTAATATATTTGTAGTTTATCTAACTGTTACATGATGTTGTTACATAAATTTTCTTTAATGTGTGGTCTAAGAAATAAAATCAAGTTATGAAAGGTATTACAATTGATTAAATTGTTATGTAAAAGTTAACTAATGTAAGGGAAACTTTGTGTAATACAAATTGATGTCAAGATGAATATTTTAGGTAATATTGAAGAAAATGTCACATTTGATTAAACTGTTAGGTAAAGTATAACTTAACTTATAGAATCTTTGTGTAATAATAAACAAATTCTCATTCAAGCTTATATAATGGAAGAATTTGATTAGGGAAGAAAGGATTCACGAAGCCAAAGAATGGAGCCTAACCGAAAGGAGGGTCGTGGTCTTCTTTCTGATCTATATGCATTTCACCGCTCCATACATAATGAGCTCGTACGTTTTTAACTAATATATAAGATATTAGTATCCCGTCATATTTATATTTTTTTAATGTACATAAGTGTAACGTACGTAACTATCATAGAACAATGTTACGTAAATCTTTTATAATTTCTGGTCAAATAATAAAATCTAGTTATGGTAAATATCACATTTGATTAAAATGTTATGTAAAAATAATAACCTCGATTAAATGATACATAAAAAGAATGGCCGTTCATAAATTTTTCTTAGTGTCTTAATCATTATGTAAACTTACATTACACGTTTGTTTAATTTATATATAAGAAATAACTATCTCTTCATAATATTTATATATAATTTATTTGTAATGTACGTAAATGTTACAGAAAAATGTTAATGTAAATCTTTCATAATATGTGGTCAAATTGTGTAAAAAATTATTGGCCTTATTAAACACCATAAAATTTTCAAAGCCACTGTGTTATGCAAATAGCAAAAGACAAATTAATCTCTCGTAAAGTGTGAAATTGAGTATAAGGGATAAAATGTTAGGTAAAAAATAATTGAAATTACAAAATAATTGTATTTTGGTGAAATTGAGTGTAGGGGAATAAAAAAAATTACCTAAACATAAGAATATAGGAAAAGGCTTATGGTAAAATTAGTAAAAGATGAGAAACACAAAAACTACATATCAACTAATTACATGAGAATATGACTTTATGATAGAAGTGATGGTGAGATAGGTCGTTTTACATGGCTAGCCGTCCTCTTGCGGGGATGAGAATAAACTTGGTAGGAAACTTAAAGACTTGTAGTGGATTATAGTACACCTGCTCTCGTTGTATAACTTTCGTTATGAACAGTGGTTAAAGAAAACTTAAAAGGCTCCGTTGATTAGTTAGTAAAAGATGGGAAACACAAAAACTACATATCAACTAATTACATGAGAATATGACTTTATGATATAAGTGATGGTGAGATAGGTCATTTTACATGGCTAGCCGTCCTCTTGCGGGGACGAGAATAAACTTGGTAGGAAACTTAAAGGCTTGTAGTGGATTATAGTACACATGCTCTCATTGTATAACTTATGTTATGAATAGTGGTTAAAGAAAACTTAAAGGGCTCCGCTGATTAGCAATTATGGTAAGCTTGGAGATTTTTTCGTAAGGAACAATAGAATTAACTTATGCTTTTAATTAATTGAAAGTGTGAAATTGAGTATAAGGGATAAAATGTTAGGTAAAAAATAATTGAAATTACAAAATGATTGAAATTACAAAATAATTGTATTTTGGTGAAATTGAGTGTAGGGGAGTAAAAAAAATTACCTAACCATAAAGGTTTTTGCCTTTATGGTACTAACTTGAAATTGTACTTTTAACGTGATGGTACAACTTCATATTGTACCTATACTTTTTGTACAAATTCTTTTATGGTACAACTTGAACTTGTAGTTTTATGTGATGCCACAACTTCAAGTTGTGAAGTTGTATCATAACATAATTGTACAAATTGCTTTTTGATACAACCCGAACTTATACATTTAACGTTATGATACAACTTTAAGTTGTACATTAAAGCACCAATACTTTATAGCATGCTCTCTAATTGAGCTGGTACATTAATCTCACAAACTGCACAAAATTGAACTCAAACTCGACTCTAATAGATAAGTCGAACTTTTTCTTAGGGTTCGTTTGGAAGTTGTGATTTCAAATGATGTATTAATCTAATTAATGTATTTGTGAGATTAAGTCGTTTTTTGGTTAATATAGAACTAGAATACATGTATTTACTTTTTGGAGGCCCACCACAATCACTCAATATTGAGTGATTTACAATCTCTACTTTTTGTTTAGATTCTTCACAATCACTCAATACTAACTTTTTTACCTTTGGAACAAAAACACAATCTAAACCTTCAAACAAGATATTTACCTAATACATCAATTGATTCAATCTATCGAATGATAATACACTAATTGTCCCAATACATCAATTTGAAGAATCACAACTTCCAAACAACTCCTTATTCTAACGAATCTTTATCCGATCGAACATCGAGCAGCTCCGAAACCACCCGCGACCCGCCTCACTAACGGCACTACACGCAACCAAAAACCATTCGCTCGACGCTGCGTTCTTTCCTCTCATGGCTCGGCAACATTCTTCTTCTTTCTCCACCACTCGCTTGCCAGAGAGAGACGCTTCTTGTTTATCACTCTAACCCTGAAGTGAGCAATCGGGACGACTCCCGGCCCATGCGAGTTCCGGCCGGTGGAGTGAACGCCGGAGAGAAGTGAGCCCACCGGGAGGAGCACAAAGCAGAAAGTTATAATTTCAGAATGGGGAATAAGATCGCGCGCACGACGCAGGTCTCCGCTTCCGAGTACTACCTCCACGATTTACCTTCTTCCTATAATTTGGTTCTCAAGGAAGTCCTTGGCCGAGGCCGCTTCTTCAAGACCGTGCTCTGCAAGCACGACGAAGGCTTGGTCCTCGTCAAGGTCTATTTCAAGCGCGGCGACTCTATCGATCTGAGGGAGTACGAGCGCCGCCTCGCCTTCATCAAGGAAACCTTCCGCTCCCTCGATCATCCTCACGTCTGGCCTTTCCAGGTTCTTTGCTTTATTCTCACACTGCTACCCCCTACCTCCTTGATTTGGTTCATTAGGAAAATGCTTAATTACTTCGCATTTTGGAGTTCTTAGTCAGTAGTCCAATTTCAATATGTGGCTGTTGTAGCATTTGGAGTAGGGTTTTGATTGGGTTAGCTCGTCCTATGCTTTTGGAAGTGTGTGGATGCTTTTTTTCCCCGGAATTATCACTATTTCGGTTCTGCAGTACTGGGGGTTACCTGTAAAATGGAGGGCTCATTTCCATATTTAATAGAACACTTCGAATTGAGAAGATTTAAGAACTGGAATCTTAGTAGAAGGGAAAAATGGTTAATTTCTTAAGAAATATCTCAGCTCATGAATAAGTCGAGGGAAGCTAGTTTATGTTCGATTAATATCTTTGCTCTGTAAGAAAGACAACTGCGTGATTTACTACGGCTGGGATATGCCATTGACCCTGCTTGTCTATGTAGTCATATACACAGGAGTTGGTGAAAGTGTTGTTGCAAGTTGCGGTTTATTGATATAACAACAGAATGTTAAAACTTATTAGAGTTTTTGTTCACTGCAATCCATCTGAACATGTTGCTTCCTTAACAGTTTTGGCAAGAAACGGACAAGGCAGCTTATCTTCTAAGACAATGTTTCTTCAACAATCTGCATGATCGACTCAGTACTCGGCCATTCCTCAGTCTTGTGGAGAAAAAATGGTTGGCATTTCAGGTGTTGTATATCTCTTTGTTTTTGTTGGATTGGTGGAGGATATATGTCCGATGAGTAATTTTCCTGATGTAATGAATTGGTGCTTCTGTGGCTGTGCAGTTACTTCTGGCTGTAAAACAGTGCCATGAAAAGGGTATATGTCATGGTGAGTGTAGAATTTGAAAATTGAAACCAGATTGTCGGGTAGTAGCTGGGTTTGTAATTTATCCCCATCTCTAC